ATAACCCTCAAGTCAAGCCTCCATGGTGTTATTTAATTTCATTGCATGAAAGGGACCCACAATATCCTTCAACTTTTCATCATGATTGGCAGTTGTACCCCATACCAAAATGACATTTATGTCTGTTTCAACACCAGGTAGGTTCTCAAAGTGTTGGGAAATTCTCTTCTGAAATACCTCTTGTGGTGAATTGATTCCAAAAGGCATTCGCAGATAGCAATATCTACCAAAGGGTGTATTAAACGTAGTGAGTAGTTGACTGGACTCATCAAGTGGTATTTGCTAGTATCCATGGTTAGCGTCTAGCTTTGAGAAAACCTTAGCTCCAGACATGCGTGTCATTATGTATTCAAGTGTAGGCAATTGATAATGCTCTTATTTGATTGCCTTTTTTAAGTCTCTTGGGTCTAGACATATGTGTGGTTTACCAGTCTTTGGTTTCTCTACAACAACCATGGAGTTCACCCAGTCTGGTGGCTCATCTACTATATGAAGTACTTTCTGTTTTTCCATAACTTCCAGTGTTTTTCTCAGTTTGTCACAAAGTGATGCTGAAATCATCTTTGGTGGATGTACTACTGGTATAGCTGATGTGTCTACCCAGATATGATATGGTTCAGTTCAGTTAGACAGCCTAATCCATCATTGAACACTTGTGGATATTTCTTCATTGTCAATGTTTTCTTCTTTTTCTATCGAATATTCATAACTACCTTGATTTAACCTAAGTCTTGTGAAGCCTTAAATCTCAGTAAAGGTGGTTGGTCAGTTTCTTTGGCGTAACAATCCAGATCTTTTTCCGTGCAGTTTAACTTGCATTTCCCATGTACTTTTAATTTTTGTAACTTGTCAGTGTAATGCGAGTCTTCTGAATTTGAATGCTTGAGTCCTTGATTTTCTTGAATATCTTCACTTGTATGATGTTTGCTTGAGATTCTGTATCTATTTTGAATCTCACATCTGCACCAAGAATATATGTCAGTTACATAGCACTCATCTTCTTTGACCTCAGTGTTGCATTTCTTTGTAATGACTCCAACATAGTGTGTACAGGATTCAGTATCTGATCCTTCTTAATTTAATCCGTGAACACTGATTATGGATCTACAGTACTTTTGATAGTGATTCATTTTGTGACCATTTCAAACATCTCCTGTCATGCTGGACATAGTTTTCTTGCAAATTTGCTATACCCATCTTTCTTTCTGAATAATCTTAGCTTTATTTCTGGCTTGTGCCACTGAAGTTAGGTTTCTTGATTTGTTTTTGTTGTGTGTTTTCTTTGATCTAACACTATGTACACTGGTGAGATCTTTCCTGTTTTTCTTTGACTCATCATGAGCTCTGCATATGGTAAGTGTTTTCTCTAGGTTTGGACCTGTAGTAGTTTGTCTTTAACTTGCTCACAGTAAATACCACATATTATTCTGTCACGAATCAGTTCATCACGCATTGTTCCGAATGCACAATCCTCTAAAAAAACTGACAGTCTTTGCAAAACTTTTAATTGGGCGCCTGCCCTTTTACACAGAACACTAACATGATGATGAACATTTAAACTCTGATCAATATTAATCCCGAACAATTTAAGTTTACTAGTTTTCAGTTTCAATACAACACCCCAATACTAAAAGTGGTATTGTCAGATTTATTTATATTAGCTTCCATCATGTTACCTTTGAACCATTTGACAGCTATTTCTGACCTTTGAGTTAAGTTGTTTATCAGCTTATTTTTATTTGCACCAGTAGCTGATATAGTATTGTCATCAGCATAACTATAAAGTGATATATTTGTAGATATTGCAAAAAGGTCATTTACAAAAGTATTGAAAAGTACTGGCCCTAAAACAGACCCCTGTGGTACCCCCTTACAATTGCCACAAGTTAATAATTAACATATTTTGTTGATTACATATCATGACAACCTTGATGTGGATCCTGTTATAGGTCATGCGTCACACGTCTGTAGACTTGTTTTACTGAAATTCAACCAGAAAAAAATTGTGGCGTCCCCTTGAAAAATATGGTGGGGAGCGTCGTCCCTCCAAAATCAAGCTGAACCCCTTTGTGTCCTCACATTTTGTCCCCCAGGATGAAGAAAATAGTTTTTTTTTCAGAGGGTCTAGATTGCAAAATTTCTAAGGAAGCATGCCCCTAAAACCCTACCAAAGTTTAGTCAGCAGATCTCGTCCCCCGGCAAAATTTTGCCGTCTCTGTTGCACAGTAACAGGGGCAGTAATTCCACATAATATTTGCATTAGTGTATCTACACTCTTAATAAACAATCGTTTCCCAGTTTGATTCTACAAGGGGCGTTTAATAAGTAATGCCCCTGACCCACTTCCAGTTGTCTGATCTAGATGAAATTTTGCATGTGTAATGATTTACATCTGTATGGATTATGTTGCAAAAAATAGCTCTGGTTTCTGATTTACATGTGTTTACAATTAAGTCAGGTGTCAAATGGAGTGTCGCGCAGTGATCCGGTTTTTGTATTTGAAATGAAAGAAACTTATGGTGATGATGCCCCATCATATGACCTCGTAAAACGCTGGCATCGTGAATTCAAACATGGCCGGAAATCTGTTGAAACAGCTCCCAGACCTTGTCATCCATCTTCTGCCATTGATGAGGCATCTGTCCGCCAAGTTGAGGCAGCCATTTTGGAAGATCGACGCATTACTGTTCGCCAAATAGCCCAAAAGGTCAGGATTAGTACAGGGTCTGTGGAAACTATCATTCATGACCATTTGCATATGCATAAGGTGTCTGCCAGATGGATTCCCAGGTTGATCACACCTTTCCAGAAGCAAGAACGCGTCGAGTGCTTGATAAGTTTGGGGATGTGCCAAGAAGATGAGTTAAAGTTTTTCAAAGGACTGATTACACAGGATGAAGCTTGAGTCCATCACTATGATTCAGAGACCAAAGCCCAGTCAATGCAGTGGAAGCACTTGGACTCGCCACATCCAAAGAAGGCAGGCAAGGGTGCAGCCCTCTGCTGGCAAGGTCATGCTCACAGTCTTCTTAGATCAGGACGGAGTAGTAATGACAGATTTCCTGGCAAAGGGTACCACAATTACAAGAGCCTATTATGCTTCACTTTTGATGAAATTAAGAGAAGCTATCAAAATCAAGATGCGGGGTAAGATCAGCAAGAGTATCCTCCTCCTGCGGGACAATGTTCCAGTCGACAACTCGCATGTCGCCAGATCAGAAGCACGGGCGTGTGGCTATGAAATCCTCCCCCACTCCCTTACTCTTCTCACCTTGCACCCGCTGACTTTCATCTCTTCCCAGCCATGAAGTTGTTTTTGAAAAAAAAAGCGTTTTCCAGATGATGCAGCCTTGATTTCTGAAGTTACGACGTGGTTGGAGGACCAACCTGGGGTGTTCTACAAAAACGATGTCCAGAGCTGCATCAAACGATGGGTGAAATGCATAACTATGCGGGGTAAGATCAGCAAGAGTATCCTCCTCCTGCGGGACAACGTTCCAGTCCACAACTCGCATGTCGCCAGATCAGAAGCACGGGCGTGTGGCTATGAAATTCTCCCCACTCCCTTACTCTCCTCACCTTGCACCCGCTGACTTTCATCTCTTCCCAGCCATGAAGT